GCGGGGACGGCCCTCACGCATGTTCACTTCTTCAAATCTGGCCCCCTTTGAAAAAAGTTTGGACACCCCTGTCCTAGAGCTTGAAGAGCCTTGCACAGTTGATTCAAGGCGTTCCTGCTCGAGCCGGAGCAGTGATGGAGTGCAAATCAGCAGTGATCTGACAGTAAAAGAATGTAGTGGCACATCAAGTACCCCCTGATCCTGCACCCCGTCTGCAGCAAGATGAGACTCTGCCAACCAGCCGTATAGAAAGGGTTTATTGCGCCTCCAGGATACAGCCCAGCATAGACGGGATGCTGTTTCAGGAGGCAGGACCAGGAGGCCTCACACCCCTTGGATTAGGAGGTCCATTATCATCACAAGACCCTCAGCTAAGGCTGCTTCCTTCATGTTTTGCAGCCAGCAACTGCCTTCCCCCGAAACCTGGTGTTGGTCTCCGCCTCTCTCCCTGTCTCTCTCCCCCTGGGAATCCCGTTATCTCCTCAAGCTGAGCCTAGGTGCCTGGGTTAACACACATGTGGGTGAGTCAGTGGGAATCACATATCACAGCACAGGGAGACCCCAGGGTTACAGAGCAGACAGCCCCCCACTACGCCACAGAGAATTCATGTGAAAGTAAAACCACAAACCCTGCTTCCCAGGATGTAGACAGCTCTGATTTACCTCCTCCAGCAAAGTCCAGGTGAAAGCAGCTGCTGCAAGAGAGTGGCCATTTGAGTAGCTTTCTTCCAAGTCACTACAATACCTTATTAGAGCTACACAAGGTTGAAATGCTTGAAAGTATCAGTTAATTTCTATTCAGTGCTGGCTTCGAGGTTTCCTAGTGCATTACTACTGATGGCCCTGGCAGAAGAGAGAACCATTCAGTCTGACTGCAAGAGGACCTTAATAGCTAGTTTGATCCATGGCTTGAAGGAAACAATGCCTGGGAGTAGAGGTTGAGAGAAATATTAAGGAGGCTATTATGGTGGGATGCAAGTTCTCCTTACAAGGCAAATACATCGGGCCAAAGTGATCTGACTGAGACAAAGGAAAACTGATTGTTCTCCCACCTTGTTCTTGCTGCCCAGATACACTGACCAAAGAGTGAAGAGGATTTAAAGGTCAATGCAGTTAAAGTGCTCCTGAAGGACTGACACCCTTACGAAACTGGTTCTAATGGAATGCTTTGAGCAGTAACTCTCTAGCGCATAAATAGGCACAGTCTTCATATGCTGCTGAACTTGTTGTTCAGGGACAGAGCCTATCTATGAGACAGAGAAATATCTGAAAGTTACTGCCCAAAGCACTGCATGACAACCAGTGTAGAAAGGGTGTTGACCATGGACTCAGTGCAGATAGTGACAGTTCCCATCCCTCTAGGGCAGGACTACTCGACATGCCGCCCCTGGGTTGCATACCGCCCGTTTATGGCCCACAGTGCAGTTTGGGTTTACATGGGGCTCAATCCACGGCCCGCAGGTGGGATCCATTGAACATGGCCTCCACTGGGAACATGCTCCACAACAGCGAGGCATTTCCCAGGAGGGGTGAGCATTTGAAAGATACAAGAGGACGGGCTGGCTGGAACTGACGGGTAACAGGGTGTTAGTGTTTCTAGCCCCAGGGAGGAGGTGTGGGGAGTGCCGGGGCATTGTGCGAAAAGCTATATATAGATAGATAGATATAGGCAACAACACTTACGTTGCAGCCCTCAGCATGTGCTGCATCACTGTGGCTCTTGGGGCTTCCAAAGTTGAGTATCCCCACTCTAAGGCAAAGCCAAAGTAGGAGAGGAACAGGCAGTAAGCAGTCTTTTCTACTCACTTTCTGCCTACCTGAAAAGCTCAATGTACCGGGAACCTATGAATCACAATGCACTACGTCTTTCAACTGTCCCCCTCCACCCTCGAATCAGGTATACAAATAATAAACAGGAAAATCATCAAGTTGCATTGTCCAGGTTGAACCTCTTTAGTCTGGCACTCTCAGGGCCAGACTGGTGCCAAACCAGAGAATTTGCCAAACCGCAGGAGGTCAGTATTGTCTAGCACAGTGGTGGCCAACCCATTCCAGATGAAGAGCCACAATAGCAGTGGAGATAGCATGAAGAAGAAAGTTGTTGAGCCCCCCACGCAGGCAGGCAACAAGGGGAAAAGTCCCCAATGGTTCAACACACTCGGCATTTCAAGAAGCGCACCTGCTGTTTAGGGGAGGGGAAGAGCAGCTTTCTCTAACTCAGACCCTCTCCCCTTCCCCAAAGCCAGGCACCCCCCCCCCAAACCCAAGCTACACCCCCTCCCCTTCCCCAAAGCCAGGCACACCCTCCCCCCAACCCAATCCCCCTCTCCTCCCCTTCCTCAGGAGCTGCAATTTTTTTCTTCGCAAGCCTCGCCTCAGGTTGGCCGCCCCAGTCTAGCAGCATCACCAACATGGCCACTGCTTGCTGGGCTCTTACAAGACATTGAGGGGGTAAATTAGAGCTGAACAGCACAGAACATTGAGAGCCAGGACTGGTGGCTGTAAATTAACTTTATGGAACCGTAGGGAAACTTGGCCACACACATGGTAAGTGGACATCCAGCGAACTAAAATCATGCCAACCAGAGATGTTGCCAGACAAGAGAGCCTCAACTTGCAGTCAGTGTCTAGCTGGCTCAGAGGACAGGGTAATGGCTATACTTGTAGTTTGTGCATATCGAGCCCCAGTTACTATAACCTAACATTGTTTCTCTTGGCTTCTGTAGAGTTAGCATCCTGTGTAATTCCCAATAAAGAGACATACACATGAAAAACATCATGGCTAGACTTAGTTGGCAGAATCAATCACTGAAAATGCCTTGAAGATGTAACTGCCTTCTCAGCTCTAGAGTGGCGAACTGGGGCACAGGGCCAGAACAGAGCACAAGAAGTTTGCCCTGCCCCAGCTGCATTGCACTTGTTCCGAAGTGGATTTCTCTCTTGAACATCAGCCCAGCTTTTTTTACCAATTTAACTTACTTCAGCTGGAAAGGAAAGATAGTGTCCCATCACTATATCAAGCATCCTCTGCTGACAACTATCAAGTGCGGGTATTTTGCCAAGCAGAGACTCACTGTCTGAACACGCAGAAAATATGAACTGGCTGCCAAAATTTGAGGACCATATGTCTGTGAATCGGAATTGCCTGGAGATACTACATTACATTTTAAACATCTTCTTTTCGTAGCACACAAACAACATTTGTCTTTAATGGTAAGCCAGTTTCACCTCCTTGTTTTATCCTTTGACATTAAGTTACCTATATTCCCAGCTTCTCTCACTTCAGCCGTTGAGCCTTAACCATAGGAGGCTCGGGTACACTGTAAGCAATCATGTATGGCATAAAATGATTTCACCATGCAAGCTTTAGGAACTACTGAGATTATAGCTAATGCAATTTTCTCTATGATGGAAAAGATTTATTCCACTCTGCAGGGCCACTGCAGAACAGTTCACCAAACTATATGCATTAGCAATTTGTCCATTACATTGAGGTCTCTCCATTCTACCTTGTGCATTTTCTAGCACTTTCAGAATCCAGTGAAAAAACAAGAGTGTTCAAACACTGAATTAAAAGTTTTTATTTTAGTGTTCCATAAAAGAGAATGTCAGTTTTAAAACCAAGAAGTACCCAAACTAACAAAGCAGAAAATATAAACATAAAAATACATTTGGATCTTTCAATATTAAACATTCAATAAGGAACTGTACAGGTGTTTGGGGGGAAAAAAGCTTTATAATCTTATGAGTATTCATATTAAATACCTTGGCTCAATAAAATGTCCAGTCTTTGTATACTAAAACCCTTCAAACAACATTGCCAATGAACATTTCAAGGTACAATAAGATTGTGCAACTTTTTCTACAGCTAATCAAGTAGCAGAATGGCCTGCAAAGGACCACTCTCTCTCCTGGCAGTGCCCAAATCTCATCAGTAAACGAGAGATACCAGATTGCAACCAAGAGATCAAGCCTCAGTGTGTAAGAGCAACCAAATAACCTTCTGGCCGACAGACTCCAAGCTACAACTGGTATAAAAGACCCCAATAAAATTCTATGGTCCCATTTTGGAAGCAGAACATCAGAACTGTAAGTGGAATGTTATCAGCAAATATTAAAACCATAGGGTTAAAGCTCTCTCAAGATAAGAATGTATTTGGTTAATGATAAACATCTTTGTGAAGTATTTTTCCCTAAAGCAGCAGGTGCAATATTACTAACAATGGCTGCAGCTGCTGGAGGTGTACCTTAATACCACAACAGGAGTACAACTGTTTAAAAAAAATCACTTCAGCTCATTGGATTAGTTCACATTAGTTTAGAATATAAAGCAAGTCCAACCACTATGATAACACCAGTTTCAAATTCAGAATGTTTAGCTACTGCTCAAAAGGCACCAAAGAATAGAGATCTCCACAGCTCTCATACAGTTGGCAAGCTATGGAATCAAGTCCTGAAGGCAGTTTTGTAAAGTGAGATACAGCTACAATTCAGTAGCATAGAGGCAATTGAAACTGATGTTTCTTCTTCCACACTATTTCAAGGCACAAGCAGCTGTCATTTTCAGTGGAAGATAGCTAGTTGCATGCATATTGTCTGGGATAGGGAAACTTACCCCTGACCTGAAGTCATCTGCTCAAACACTCATTACTACGACTAAGTACCCGAGGCCCTAAAAGGAACATTACAAACCTTAAATCTTTCATTCATAGTATTAAGAGTTATTTCATTTATGGTTTTCCTTGAAGGAACCTTGTATGATAGGGAAGTTAAGCCTTACTTATACAGAACTTTTATAATCACAAGTCAGTCTTTACAAATACACAGAACAGCATATATATTCATTCATACTGATTCCAGTAAACATACATTTCTTTTATTAAAATAAATTAGGTTTTACTACAAAATACAGCATCTGAGAAAAATGTACAGTAGTCTCCAGCATTTTGTGAAACTATTGAATGTTAGACTAATAAAAGTCTTAACAGGAAATTCAACTAGTCTCACCTGTCATTAAAGTGCTCTAATGTAAGGAATACTGTGAAACTGTGCCCTCCTAAACTATGGGTGAATCATCACTCAACTTTGGGGAAGACTTAATGGAACCTTTCACCTGGATGAAGGGTAGAGTTGTTGTTTTTATTGTTTCACAATACATGTTGGATCTTAAAACAGATTATCAAAAGTAATATTGTATCACTAACCCTCTCTGCCTTCAAGAAGCCAATTTGAGAGCTGTGACACAGATGTTAAAATTGAGCGCTTGCCACCAAAAAAAAAAAAAAAAAGATTCAGTCCCAACATTAAGTGTGGATACAAATTAATGTTGAATACAAATCACAACTTTCCATCAAAGTGCTGAATTTTCCTGAAGATTCTTATCATCGCTATCCTAAAAGAATGATTTGGAGTAAGCCTTCTAAAATGATTGTTTATTGGTGTCTTGCTGTTTGTTATCAGATATACATGAGAAATGCATATCCCATAGCACACTGCATAATTACAGCAGACGAAGGCAAATGATTCAGACAGAGGTATCAGATTATCTTGCAGAATAGCAGCACAATGTCTTCTAATTACACTTCAAATAAAACTTATTCTAACATTCTCAACCACATCTTATTACAGGGAACTAGACATTTTTAAGACACCATTTGAATGTTCCTTTATTAAGAGAACCATGTCACATATGCCTTTTACTTTATCCACATATTTACCCAATGTAGGTTTCATACAAATCAGCTACATACATCCTAGTTTCCCAAATACAGCATGTTTGAAAATCTGATCTTGAGTGGCACAATATAAAAGTCATCACATGACTTGCTGTGCATAGCAACATAAACAAACTAAGCACCTATACCACAAGGGACACAGGTGCATACATGTTTATACAGGATACAGAGTGAACTGTGTGGCGCTGTTTGCCCCCCAGTTTGAACCACCACCTTCAAATCAGGAATACGATGGCTATGAAACAAAACAGCTCCCAATTCAGACCACTACATGGTCTATATTTCATACCTGTTCTTTAATCCTCTAGGAAGATGGCAAGTGCAACTTTGTTTGATTTTTGTTGCATTGAAGAGTCTGCTCAGAGCACCGCTTTGAATTTTTCACCATTAGATTTACACAGGCTTGGCACTTCCCTTCCCAAAATGAGAGGCAGGCACTTGGCTAGTACAAATCACATTTTCACGTAGATTTAAATGCCGTCCAATTTTACAGATTTAGAATAAGGCCACTTATGGTTACCAAAACCTCTTTCTGGAGAGCATTCCAACTTCTGTAATATAATTATCTGAACACAGCAATCAAATGCTTGGATTAGTGTATGTGATGACTTATATTGCACAACTTAAATCATATTTAAGAACTATTGTTTCTCAGATTGAGAACATGGTTCAGTTTTTAAACCCCAACCCTTAAGCTAAATTCTCAGTACTACTAAATTACAGAAATTCAAAAGCCAAGAACCATTAGTGTCTCACTGAGAAAAGACTTAAAAAAAACCTTCAGAGCCTCATGAATCTCAAGCCTACAATCAGTTTCTTTAACAATGCTTCCCAGGTGGTGAGAAAATATTTACAGCCTACCAGAAAGAAAGGTGGAAAACTTCTGACTATTGTATTTTTGGCTTATGTGTTCAAGACCTGGTATAATTATTAACTGGCCTCCAGATAAGTAGAATCAACTTTTGCAAGAGACACAGAAAGGTGACTGTTTTGTAGGTAGCAGGTACCAAAACATCAGTAGCGTCACATGATCTACCTGTGAAGTTTGAACAACAAGATGGGAGTTCAGTCCTTTAGCCAGGTTTATTGGTAGAGGTTTTATATCCTTCCAGCTTTTTGCATTTGAGACGTAGCCCGAAGAATGTTGGGGGTTTCTTCCATGACTCTGACAAGCAAGTTATCAATGTAGTCTTCTAGCTCCCGCACCTGGAGCTCTCTCTTTGTAATGGTATCCTTCTGTCTCAATACCAGCTGGATCAGCTCATCATGTGTCAACTGAGCATAAGCATAGGCAGGGTCTGAAGGATCATATTTCTTTTGGAGAGAAAAAAGACACAGAGTCAGCGCAGAACTAAGTGTTTTACTGTAATATGAGAAGATTGCCCAATGATCTTTGTATTCAGGTAAGGCTGAAGAATTCCAGGAATAATATTGGTTACCAAAATAATTTCTTTGCTCTTCAAAGAAATTATTGTACTTTACATCTTGTTAAAATTTCACACAACTGGAATTTCAGGATTTATTACTCATTACAACTTTAGCACACAGGAAAAGCAAGTTCCCCAGAGCTAAAGCCGGCCACATTTGCAGCACCAGCAATGACAGGGAAAAGCTGCAAGACCAAAGTAAAGTGACACAAATGTAACTTATTGCAGACACACATCTGTTAGGCCACTTCACAATGGCAGCTGGAAAGGACAACAGATGTTCATGCACTACCAAAATGTGGTCAGGTGGAGCTTTATAATAATAGATTATGTGGAAAGGAAAGGAACAGGAAGAATATTTAAGCACTGCACTTTTAAGGCCCAAGAATATCTGGTACTATAGGATTTAGGAAGTCCAAGGTATTTATTCAAAGGGGAAGACGGACTCAAAATGAGACAAAATTTGGAAGAGGAAACATTGCAGCAACAAAATGCAAGTTTTCCATAGCCTTAATTTTATAATTCAGTACATGTCAGTAATTTATAGTAATATGTGAACGCTAGGTTTGCATGTGGGTAAAGAGTAAATTTGAGTCCGTAAGAAAGGGCAGATGATTTGTGCCCCCGGGATATCAAAGGCCCAAAGACATGGATAAAAAACTCCCTGTGTGGACAGCAAGACAGAAAATAGTTTTGTTGTTGCACACCCAAAGTGTGGTCTGGAAACCCCAGACACTTAAGAAAACTGGCTTCTCTAGACTCTGAAGGAGCAGCACACAGTTTACTTGAAAATATTCAACCTTTCAGTCAAATTTTTCTTTTGTGACCATTTACTTAGAAGTCCCAAAGCCTGAGCAGTAACATCTACATGACTATTTTCAGCACTGAAGCAGGAGCCCAGGTCAGCTGTCCCAGGCTGAGATTTGGGGGAGGGCATGCAGGCAAACAGACATTCCTTAAGATAAGGAATCCCGCATAAAAATCCAGTTAGTGCCTGGATTTTGGAATCAGAATTCTCTCAGAGCATGTTTCACTCTGATTTTCAAGACCTTTCATCTAATGGTTTCCCAGGGATCAGAACTTATGCAACACTAAGACAATACTTTTCAGAGACCTCAGGGGAAGAGAAATAAGATGAAAGCTTTTAGCCATGCACTTTTAGAAACAGAACCTATTTTTGTGAGGTGACGTTTTACTGCTTTAGAAAATGGGCATTTGGCTTTTCAGACTGCAGAGGAAATTCTCCACTGTGGAAGCTACCAATGCAGCAAATTACAAGGTTATGGGTCCCAGGAGTCTCTGCTGAAAGGAAGATCAGTAGTGACTACCTGCCACCATCCCGGAGGATCACCCAGTAAGCAGACTCCAGGCTATGGTGACCTCACCCCTCACACTGTTGTCAGTCCAAAGTAGCATGTTCCCGGTCACCCTCCATCTGAGGCGCTCCTACTAGCTATCTTCCTGGCTCACAATCAAGCCTCCCCATCAACCCACCCATCTTAGTAGGGTACCAAAGAGCACTTCTGGCTTTACTCCTGTAGTACAGCCACAGTTCCTTGAGACTCCCAATCAGGAGACTCTTTATGCTCTGAAGTTATGTGCAGTGAATAAGAACAAAAATGAATTCAATTTCTGCCTCCCAACCCTGGGAAACAGAGAACATAAGGAGATCTTTTAGCAGATATGGTCCAAGTGTCAGAGCCAAAAAAAATCTAAGTTACCTTGAGGAGGCAAGTGCACGTTGAGTGTCCTGGAAGCGATAGAGTTTACAATAACCAATATTACACTCTAACCTGAGTTTCAATTTCTTTCATACCTTTCTGTTGCTCTCAATCCATTTTTCATTTGTGGATGGAATCAAATTTTTGGTATGTAAATTATTTGCTGTGGTGTTCATTGGCTTCACAGGATGAGGTCTGAAACAAAACCACAACCCTGTTTAGGCAGTTCCTTTACATTTTGATATCCCATCACAAGCAAAGCATCCAACAGGTTCCTAAATTCAGTCAGACTAAACATGGGGGAATTTAATGAATTTTCTTATACACCTCAAGGTACAAGAAATTCAGTTTCAGAGCGGAGTTCTACCTCCAAGTATACTCTTCCATTGGCTGTACATGCACACACATGTACTCTGTCTGCTCTGCTGACTTATTTTTATTGCATTCAAAAACAAGCAAAAAAGGTAACTGGAAAATTAAAAGTCTACAAGCCAAATCCCTCTTGGACAGCAGATTTTTTATTTTCTCTGAATGGAAGATTGTGGCATGAGGCACACTAGATGCCTCGGTATAAACTTTAGCCAGATCCAGCTGTCAACACCAAAATGTTCCTGAATGTAAACAAACTGCTATAAATAACAGCAGTATGGGATGGTTAGATCTGCACAAAGCCCTCCCACTGATCATTGTAAAGTTACGGGTGCACAGTTGTGCTTGGTGCAATCACTGGTTTTTTTTTTATAATTAAGTTTAGGGGGCAATGATCTTTCACTGGTACAATATTATACAGATTTTTGACTGTGCCCATAAGTCAGATCAAATTAAGATTGTATGAAGTCACATCATAATGAAAAAAAACTATACCATTTATGTACAATAAATACTTTTTTTCTTGTTGTAACAAGAATTTTCTATGTATTTCCCCACATTCTCACCTGTGCTTAACAGGCACACTTCCATCACTCTGCTGTGTTCGATTGGGAAATGTCTCAGAGGGTGAAACCCATGCCTGAAGCAGCTTCTTCTTGCCTGCATTTTCAGCTTTATCACTGAAGCTCTCTGCCGGTTGCTTTTTCACTGATTCTGCTCTAGTACTGTTGCAAGTGCCAGATTGGAGGGAATTAGAAAAAGCGGAGAGTTGAGAAGAACTGGACAGGGAGGTAAAAGAAATTGATTTTTCAGTGGGCTCAAAAAAATCACTCTTCCTATTTTCTTTAATACTGCTAGATTCCTTCCATTCCTGTTCCTCAACACCACATTCATGCTCGCTGGGGTACGACAGCGTATCTAAACCCAACTCACTAATCTTGTTGCTTGCACTATGAATGTCTACTTCTGATTTTAATTTGGATGATTTGCTAGATGTAAAAGTATCTTCAGAGCCATCTTTCTCTTCCTGAAGCAATATACTTGCTCTATCAGTAGAGCTTATATCTGAACTCAGTTTGTTTTCAGTAACTGACAATGAATTGTCAGTATTTTCAAGACACTGATTTTCAGTATTTGGAAAACGTCTATCAATTGCTGTTGTTTCATTATTCTTTTTATAATTGTCTAGGAGTTCATCGTCAGATCCTACTTCTGGAATAACTGGAAGGCCAACCAGCGTTAGATTCTGATCAGCAGTATCTGGAAAGGCAGCCTTCAGATCTGTCCTACAGTCAAACAATGAATCATCATGACCATAAGCTTTGTGTTTTAAGTGTCCATTATCGCTATCATCTTTGCCAAGATGTATAGTTGACAGAGTGGCAGTTTTTAATAAGCTGTCACTTGCTGGGTTTTCATGTGGGTTCAAGGGATTCCCATTATGAAACACAAATCCAGACCCAGACATGCTGCTGTCAGATGGAATAAGCATCTCTTGGTCTTTCATTCTGTCAGTCAGAGAAACAGGTACACACTTATTTAGTTTTACAGCCTTTCTAGGTGTAGGCTTTGGCTTTGCAAATAGAGGACTGAGTTCAGTAACATCCTCTGACTTGTTAGTGTCCTTAGGGAGCAATGTGTGAACTCTCGGGATTGGTTTTGGCAGCTCCACTTGAAGGGAAGAGCCACTTTTGACAGCATGAGTTGCCTTGGACTCTAATGTGAGCCCAAATTCTCCCATTTTGTGAGAACGCTCAATTTTCTTTTCACTGCATATTTCTTGCTCCTCATTTAATTTGCTTTCAGGAGAAGATGGCTGTACCACAGCCTTCTTAGGTGAAAGGCTATAATTAGATTGGGAGAGAGAAGTTGGTTCTCTGCAGTCTTTCCACATTTCAGCACTTGTACTGTTGGTTTCAACGTCATCCAGAACAGTGTTCTCATTGTTCTGAATAGAATTCCTACTTTCATCACTGAGTTTAAATGAAGGGTAGCACTCCATATCCAGCACAGGGGCAAACCCTTCTCTCTTGTCTATTGTGGCTAGATCTGTAGTAAACCTTTCTTCACACTGATCAGGGTGCCCTCTCTCATGCTGCTCTCTGTCTAAAGCTGCAGCATGACTTCTGCTGGAATCAGTATTTTCCAGCTCAGCAAGGGGGACGGTCACTGACTGCTTAATGCCTCTGCTTTTGCTAGAAACAGCAGAAGGAAGGGAGAAAGAAGAGGGAGGACTAGTAAAGCTTTTGAGGTCTTGCCCTTTTGATTCCTGTCCCAGGTTAGATACAAAAGGGTTAATGTCAACAGAAAGGTGAGAAGAAAGGGGAGGAGGAGAACCATGTCCCAGAGTTGTGGGAGGATGAGGGAAATGCAGAAGAGGATTAGTGAAGCTTTCAGAGTCTTGTGTTTTGGATTCCTGTCCCTTGTCAGAAATTAACATGTTATTGTCATTAGAGCATTGTCCAGTACCAAGAGATGGAGGAAGAGACATACTAGAGTTTGCAGAGTCTGGTGCTTTAAATTTTTGTTCCACTTTAGAAGCAAAAAGGTTACTGTCACTACTAGAATGATGTGCAGAAGGGAAAGCAGGAAGGGAATTAGGTACAGATGTAGCAAGCGTGGCTTTGGTTTCATCCTCTGAAGACACTCCCAGTCTGTAAAAGGGACAAAAAACTTGCATGTCAGTTGCAGATGCAACATGTGAGAGACAGGCAAAGACAAGTCTTAAAGGCAGATTTCACAAAACCTGCAAAGAAACTGCAAGGATTTAAGAGTTTAACGGACCAATCAACCAAGCTTGAAATAAAATGTATGTTTAAATATTTATGTATGTAATACCAATACTTATGATGCTAAAAACTTCTGTTGGAAAGTTTGCCACATGCAAATCAAAGATTACTAGCACAATCTACTTTTAAAGCAATTGTACATTCATTGGCATCCAGGACATAAGTATTAATAGCATAATAGTTTAAGACGTTTACATTTACACACAAGGTATTCAAACAAATGTAACTTAAAATGTAGTGTTAAAGATAGCTTGGGATCAATGTTTCCTCTAATCTTTTCCATCCATGGGTGGTTTTCCCCCATTCATGTGTGGAATAATTTTTAGGTGCACTGAAGCAAGTACAAGTGTGCCGCCGCGCCCCCCCCCCCAATAAAAAAAACAAAATCTAGTTGTGGCTGCTCTGCGAATCAGCTGTTGTCATCTGAATTTATCCTGAGAGACTGCACAAATGCACAGCTTACAGGGAACACAAGATACTTGTTAGTAAGGCTATGCTTCTTATGAGCAAGTCACAGGGCAGAATTTCTGAAAAAAGTCACACAGAACCACAGAAATATACTTAATGAAACAGCAAATGATGCCAGTGGCAGATGTGGTCCAAGATTTGCCATTCTCCAGGCCAAAGCAATAGGTACAGGGAAAGGCTTAGTTAAAGATATTTCAGCCTTTTATCATACTATCAAACTTAGTAAGGCGTTTTTTGTTTTGGATTAATAGAACAACATGGAATAAATGATTCCACACTATCTGAAAAGATACAGGCTCTAAAAACATTATGGTAGTGCATACTCACCTGTAAGAAGTTGAATTCATTATAAATATTAACTTCCATTCTTACCAAAAATCTTAATAAATGTATATCTGGTTTAGCTTGCATCTAGTGGTGAAACACACAAGTCCACCACCAAAAAAAAAAAAATGTTGTAGAGGACAACAGCTACAGAAATATTACGTTGGGGCAGGAAGTGGTACGCCTAACTATATGTCTGCTGTGCTTTATATCAGTATTTGAAACTGAAAACTAACAAGACTCACCTGGGTTTGACAGCTTTGGTTTGGATTGTCCTTGCAGAGGCTGCAGACTTTTCTGGTTTCTGTTCTTCCGTGACCGCCTCGTCAAAAGGGTTACGCGATTGCTTGTTTTTGGGGACATCTGCTATGTTGCTGTTTTCTGAAGTACTTGCTTGGTTGCTGTCCTTAGGGATTTCAATAGGTTTTACCTCTTTTTCATTCTTCTTTTCTTCAAGAGGATTGGCTTCTCTCTTCTTTAAAGTCATGTCAGACATACTTTCTACATTGCTGTTTTTCACTATTTCCTTTCTTCCTGTGACTAGAGACAACAAAGTCTTCTTATTCTCCTGTTTTTTTTCTTCTTTAGTTTCTTCTTTTGTCATTTCTAAACTCAATGGAGCACTATTTTCCAGTAAATCACCACCACTAAGCAGTTTGTATGATGGCAGGGTCATAGACTTAAAGGACTCCAGTGAGGGAGACCCGGGTAAACCTCTAATAGGAGAAATTCTTCCTGATTTTTCGTGTACCTTAGTGGATTTGGAAGACAAGTTTTCTTCTGATTCAGAGGGCTGGATTTTCCTGAACATTTGAGGGGAAGAGGAAGGAGTATTCTCCTTTGACAGAGTTTCCTTTTTCGTTTCACCTTCCTGCCTATAAACATGATTGCCATTGATACACACATTGGATCGGGATGTGGGATCGGGATCAGGATTTTTAGATTTAAGGCCACTGAATAAGGAGAGCCCTTCTTTCTTGGTGTTGCTGGAAGTTATTTGGCTTAGTTGCTTATTGTCTTCACTTGCTGTTCTCTTATGAGCCATGAGTACAGGAACATGAAGTGAATTATCTTCAGCTTTGTTTCCAAAGGCCTCTGGAAAAGAAAAAAAAAAAAGGTCATTCAAGCAATGAAAAAAATTTCCCTAAGACAATGGTCCCCCAACTTGAGGATCAGTCCACTCTTTACTCCCCAATCCAGAGCCAGGGGACTTGGACAGAAGCAAATGGGGGGAGGGGGAATGAAGGCTGGGACCACATCTAGGGGACACTGGGACTGCAGCTGGAGGGGACAGTCTAGGGCTAAGAGTGGGGCCACAGCCAGGCTGTAGTGGAAGCTGGAAGCCTGAAGCCAGGCCCTTGGGGCAGTGTGGCCTGCAGCCTCGACAGACCAAGCTGGGCACAGGACTAAGAACTCTGCTGCAGGCAGAACTGGAACAGAGCTGGGGATGGGGTTAGTGGGGCTGCTGGTACTCTCCTCCCGCGCTCTTCCCCACCCCAGGGGACTGGCCCAGACCCCACTGTGCTCCTTCCATAGTTTAGGTACATCTGCGATATCTCTGCATTTCAATCTTTGAAATGCACAAAAGCCCCTGCTGGGGCTCTTGTATATTTCAAAGAAGCAGCGCACGCATGGAGCCTGGAGCCAGCAGGGCACTCAGAGCCCCCCAGCTCCAAACTGCACTTCTGCTTTGAAATGTACAAGAGCCCCAGCAGAGGCTTTTGTGCATCTCAAAGTTGGAATGCTGACGCTGAGCCCCTGCCCCTTCCATGGAGCTGGAGGGAACCGGCTTAAGCCAGCTCCCCCCAGCACCCGCTCATCTCCCTCCCACCCCCCACCCTCGTTGTCTCTTTCTGACAGAGGCAGCACGGGGGGGGAAGCATCTAGTCGACTAGTCACTTACATCCCTAACAGACCAATTTTTTTTTAATTAACAATCGTATCAAAGCTACCCTCTTTTGAACAAAGATTTAAGATACTAAACTGTATTACTACTGTGCGGGGGAATACTCACGTTCTGAATTTGGAGAAGCAGATTCTTCATCATCATCATCCCCCCATTTTGACTGAAAGTCACTAGGTTTAAGCCTAACTTTCTCGGTCACTGTCTGAAAAGGAGGTAAAACTGACATGGACTGGGACAGGGAGTTTTTCTGCAAACCAGGTTTAGAAAACAGGGTTTTGAACTTGGATTTTTTCTTGTCTTTCTCAGGTGATTCCTCTTCACTATCAGCTGGTGAGTGAGTGATGCTGGGAATGATGGCGGAAGCAGTGTCAGGCAATCCATTGGTCCGCTTTCCTTTGAGTTTGCCTTTCAGCTTTCCAAACGGAGACCGGGACTTGTCTTTCATGGATAAATCAAACATGCTGGCTGTCATGTTGCTCCTCGTGAATTGAATATCCACCTCAATTTCTCCTCTCTCTTTTTCTTTCTTGCCTGGTTTGGAGTGAAGAGTATACCACCTGCAAAAGAGAGAACATTTTAAACAAGCTTTAAAAACCAACTCTAGTTAAGCAAAAATAGCTTATAATTACAGGGTGTTTTTAATAGACTTTCCAATATAGATAAATCCATGAAAGATCACAAAAGTGCAGAACAGCATTAATGGATTAGATATATTTAGTAAACCATAAAGCAAGCCACAGAAAAATATGGCAGAGGGGAAAAAGAAAAACAAAACAAGCTAGCTGGGAAACTTTTTCATGTCTAGCACAAGGACCAGAGAGCTTACTGTTGGCAGAAGATAGGGATGTGAATGGTGAACTAGTAAGTTTACCGGTTATGGTTAATCGGCGGCCCAGCCTGGCCGAAGCAGCCCTGGCCCATGATGGGGAGGAGGGCCAGGCCCACAGAGCCACATTGCAGGCAAATGATCCCAGTTTAATGTTGAATATTTAAAGCTTTTTTTTTTTTTTTTTTTTTTTTTAAAGGAATGCAACTTCTATCATCTTAAGTTCAGCCGTCATGTCTAGGAAACATTGTGCAAGTAATAGCTATTTACTTTCAGCCACACAATCTCTGCATTATGATGCAAGAAACTGTAGGCACCTTCCCCACAGACTACTTAGTGAGCAATGTGCATGTCAACAGTCACTGCCAAGATTATATATACTCTGTGTACTGTAACTAAGGGCATTTCTACACGGGTAGGCAGGTGTGTAAAATCAAAAAAAGCCACTCCTGACCGAAGAAAGTGCCAACATGGACAGCTCTAGGTCAGTGGGAAACACTCTCCTGCAGTCATGCCTTTGGGAAGATATAATTATGCCGACCTAAGAGCTCTCTCCTGCCAGCACAAATCAGCTACACAGGAGCCTTACAGAGGCAGTACAATTGTGCTGCTGTACAGTCCATAATGTAGACATAGTGGAAGGATAAGAAGAAAAAGTTCAAATGAAAATGGTGGGTTATTTTATCATATCCTCTTCAACAAAATTTAAAACAAATCTAGTAGCCAACAGCCAATGACAAGGAAGGTTCAATGTAAGAAGCACAATATGAAAAGAGTTGACAAAATTTTGCTTTCCTAGAGGCATTACTAGGTTTGTTCTTAATTTTCTTTAGATCTTTTCATAAAAACAAACCTGGAAGAATCCTACACTGCTATCTATTGCAGCGTGTTGCCTGCAGGCAAAAGCATGTCATATGCCATCTTTCCCAATGCATTTTGAGAAACAGCTACATTCTTCATTAGACATTTATGTTTGAGAGCTCTTCCACAGACTGCTACACAGCTTTGTCAAGAACCACCAAGCATTTGCTTATGGGCCAAGCTGGTGCCAATGTTCCTGTATGCCTCATTTCAGTTCAGGGCTTTTAAAAAAGCATTAGCCCCTGGAAGAAAACTACACCAAACCCAGCATTCATGGCTGTCAGTCTTTTGAGAGGAGGCTTTGCATGGACATAGTTTACAAGAGGCGAGTGCTGCCAAATCTATCACTTTTGTGAAGATAAAGGCCAAACTGGCCCTCCTGAGATTACTTAGCAGCTGATCTTGCTACTCCTGTGAGTTAAAAAACAAAAACAAAAAAACCACTCACTAACAAGCATTAGTCTGTAATGTGGTTTGTGTGTTAGTCATAGTTATTCCATTAAGAATAATCTCACAGTAGAAACCATAATCTTACTAATTTCAGAGCAGCCAAGAACATTTACATTAAAACAGAAAATACTCAAGTAATTTTGACCTAACTGTACAAGGCTAGCAAGAAAAATCTTTAACTTCATATAGCTTCCATTACACAGTTAACCGAACCTAATACTTTATTGAATTAGCTACTATTCCGGGAGATTATGTCCTTTAAAGGTATTTATTTATTAAGAACAAGAGTGTTTGACTTGGATTGTACAACACTTTCATTCTTCACCTAAATAATTGGCCTTTACAAACATGCCAAATATTTTTAGGTAACTTTACTCTTCTCAGTGCTAACCATGACTGCTTCTTTTCAAAGACTCATATGCAAAAGCCAAGTATCTCAAAACGGAAAACTTCCCACTAACCCATAGTGCCTCCACAACAGAAAAAAAGTTAAAAAACATACATTGACTAACCTATAAACCCAAGTTTTAGTCTCCCCGGATATGACTAGCCAAAGACTGACCTCAACGCTGAGTCAATAAGACAGTTTCATCTCTTCAAAGGAAAGGATTTTTCTTCTAAATAACACAAGCAGTCAGACTTTGCCATTGTCTATACTACCAAGCTTTGTCAATAAAACGTCTCGACATCCAAAAGCCGATGAAACACATATTGCCAAACATGGTGTTCACACTTGCTCCCTCTGTCCATAGATCATGTCCACTCTGTGGGCACCATCATTGACAGTGTAAGACCTTGTCTATACTTAATGGGAGATCGAAATTCCAGGGTTCAATTTAGCAGGTCTAGTACAGATCTGCTAAATCGAAAGCTGATGGCAAGTTTTATTTTTCCTGCTATGAAACACATACAAGAGAACAGTCACTCTAATTTTGAAGTCATCTTATTATTAATGATATTTCCATCCCAGTATCAGAAGGGTACAGAAGCACAGCAAGGGAAAATTTTTCTGTTGGGATGCAAATAAATTTTCATTTTACAACTATGCTAATAAACATGCTTTTTACTTCACCTTTAATATGCTTGACCTAACTAAAACCACTTCCAATAAGTCAGTGCATAGTTATTAATTCAGCTTGAAAAATCAGAAGCCAATAACCTCTTGGAAGCAATGATGCCTTAAAGAGTAGTTAAACACATACAGAGTACATAAAAGCAAAGACACTAAAACCAGAACAAAACTCCACCTTTCAAACACATATTGTTTAATAAGCACATAGCTAAAAGGCACTGTCGTCTTCAAAGCATTTTGAAAACATTAATCTTCATTCCTATTGTGAACTCCATTGTTCATCCTCCCACTTATCCTTAAGGATGGTATGATTCGACCCACAGGATTCAAACTGTGTCGGGCACTCATATAAAAAGGGACACAGAGATCCTATCTATGTCCGTTTGCAAAGAAAGTAAATTGTATTGCAAACATACCAATGTACTGTACAGAACACTTTGTTTTGTAGGGACGTGCTTTCATGGCTTGATGTGACCTGCAGAGCCTTCTGCTGGTGATAGGCTCTTTTTTGTGCACTGATTCTGCAGTATTAGGAGCCAGAAAAACATTTTCTCATTTTATAAATGGAAGAATATGATGAAAAGTACTTGAAGCTGAACATCAAGTCTCAGAATGCCATTTTAAAAAATCATTTTCCTTCAAATCAATCAATCCATATCTTTGTCTTTTCACAAATTGACCATCTATGCTCCTAAATCCAAGCTTTAAATTAAAAAAAAAATTTGTAGCCCTCATGAAAGAATCATTACACGCAAATCCACAAGAAGCAGAGCGGATTCTGTCTCAAAATTTCCAGTAATATAGCCAAGATACATAATTTGTTCCTATTCATCACAATGGCACGTTAATTTAGATGCCTCATGACATCCAACTTCCATGTCAACATTACTTCATAAACACCTGCTCAAGTGTTTATCCTGCAATCTGAAACTGCTCTCCACTCCCTCTCGATGTCAACAGCTTCCTCTCTCCTTACCCACTTGCTAAGCCATTGGCTTCCTCTCACCTGCCAAATTCAGATTAACTTTGCCATGGAATAGCACAGGGATTTCCAACCTGGGGTACGCGTACCCCCAGGGGGTACGAGAAGCTTGTCTAGCGGGTACAGGGAATATTTGGTAAATAACTAGATTGTCCTAATTGAAATATTCCAAAAGTAGTAGTGTTAGTGAAAAAAGTTGTGGATTCTAGAGTCTAGAATTTATTTCCTTTCATATTGAATAGGGGGTACAGGAAGGTTTACTAAAAGCCAAGGGGGTACGGGGACTGAAAAAGGTTGGGAACCCCTGGAATAGCAGAAACATTGCCTACCCAAAAACACACAGGAGAATTTCAGCTGATGTACAGCTCCCCTATTTCTCGGATTCTCTCCTTGTTATTCAAGTGTATATTCCCTGGTTTGCTCTCTCACTTGGCTTCCAGTTCATTTGATGAAGTGGGTTTTACCCATGAAAGCTCCTAAGAACAGAAGAGCAGCCAGACTGGACGAGACCAAAGGTCCCAATGTTCTGTGTGCGACAGTGGCCAATGTCAGATGCCCCAAAGGGAATGAACAGAACAGGGAATCATCAAGTGATACCTCCTCTGTCACCCATTCCCAGCTTCTGGCAAACAGAAGCTAGGGACACCATCCCTACCCATCCTGGCTAATAGCCACTGATGGGCCTAACTTCCATAAATCTATCTACAGGAGGTCCCTGACTTGCGACCGCCTGAGTTCCAACCCCTCTGCACTTACAGAAACAGTTGTAAGTGTAGAAGGGGCCGAAACCCCCCGACTTACGTCCTCAGCCCGCATTTACGATGGCACACGGCGCATGCCGTAAATGAGGGTCTGAATGAGGACGTCCCCAACTTGCAACGCTTCCCCGGGAACCGATCCTGTTGCAAGATTTATACATGTGCGCGCACACACTTTTGGGGGGTCTCCAAAGTGCCACAGGCCCACTCATTTTTAAAGTTACCTTTCCTCCCTCCCTTTCCTTTCACATAACGGGGCCCCCCCTTTTTTTTCCCCTCCACCACATCTGGGGGTGGGTGGGGGGGTTGCCCACTCCCTCCCTTTCCTTTCCGGTTACATAATGGGGCCCCCACTTTTTTTCTCCACCACATCTGGGGGGGGAGGGTTGCCCACGAGGCTCTCGATTCAGG